CACACACACACACACACACACACACACACACACACACACACACACACACACACACACACACACACACACAAACACACACAAAGCATCAGAAATGAACAAACGAAAGCACGAATGAACCCACCTGAGGTCATGTTGGTGCGCTCGATTGCACAGCCCTTCCCGATGCACAGCTCAATCTCCATCCTAACCAAAAGCCTAGGAACAACAATCTCTTTCTGTGCACGTGTATGCGTGCGTGTGTCACAGAGAGAGAGAGAGAGGATGGTGTGTGTGTGTGTGTGTGTGTGCCTGACTGTGGCAGACTGTTTCGTCAGACTTTCACCGACTCATCAGGAGGTAGAACCTCGACACTCTGTGTGTATATGCGCATGCACGCATGTGTGTGTGTATGTGGGTGGGTGTGGGTGTGTGAGTCTGTGTAGAACGCGTAGAGTAGCGTAGAACAGTGCAGAGTCGAGTCAACAACGTCTTCGAGTAGTTTAGTGTGTCTGTAGCGTAGTGTCGAGAGGCCGGGGCAGTGCAAACGCCACAGTTGGTTACTAAATGTTCCACACGTGCATTGGCCCGGTACAGTTCGCGGGACCGGCGTTGGCCCTGTAGGCATGCGGGCATGCTAATGCGTGATGCCGGGGTAGGCACGCGGGCATGCTAATGCGTGATGCCGGGGTAGGCACGCGGGCATGCTAATGCGTGATGCCGGGGTAGGCACGCGGGCCCGGTACCATGCGTGGTACTGGCACAGGCGTGGCGCGGGAGCGTTACCGGCCCTGGTGCAGTGCCGCGACGGTTCAACTTCTAAGACAAAACGATCAGCAGACAATCGGGACCGTCGCGCAACAAAAGATCGGAGGGGCCCGATCGTCTGCTTGTCACAGGCAGGAAATTAGCGATAGTTATATATGTAGTGATTTGCTGCTGGAAATCTGCTCATGGGAGCCAGATTGTTGTTGCATACCACACCATTCCTAGCATAGACTTATTGAGCGCTAGAGCTCTTCCTATGATCGATGTCTGCAACGCTTGCTAGCAGTGCATCCTGTTCATCATGGAGGATAGTAAAGCTGCTGCCGAGATAGGATGACGTCCTTTTGCACTTAGGTTAATGCCTAGGAATCTGAATGGATGCAGTCAGGTCTGTCATTGCACTCCCTCTGGAGTGTTTGTTAGGGGCGGTAGAGTTTCTGCTAGCCACCACTGCAGTGTTTTTCACCATTCAAGTTTCTTTCCCGAAGCTAATAGGAATGCTTGCATTGCTTTGGTGAGTGCTTGGAAAGAAGAGTTAGAAGCTCTCATGAGTGCCGTGAGATCATATACAAACAGGATTGTAAGGGTTGTTATGGGTAGGTGCAAAGTACTATGACCTATTTTATCCTTCATGTTTTCTAATCTTTCTATAGATTCGCCCTTTTGGAGAGAGACTGCTATAGCTTCCATTACAAAGAGGAAAAAAAAATGGGGGCTGCCAATGGATCTCCCTGTCTTACTCACCTTGTCATTTTGTGAACATTGGATAGGAATCCATTTACATGCACTAACCCCTGGGCGTCTTTGTGACCATTTTGGGGAAACTGGCTCCCACTCCCATCTTCTCCATGCAATGTTGCAAGAAATCCCAATTGACATGATCGTAGGCTTTTCCAAAGGTAAAAAATACAACTACAGCCCTGATTTTCTTCTCGCTAATATGTGTGTGTGTGTGTGTGTGTGTGTGTGTGTGTGTGTGTG